TCTCGGGCCTGCAGGCCGCCCCGTGCATGGCCCTGCTGTCGGGGATGCCGCCCTGGGCCATCTTTGCCATGAGGCTCTGACGTCGGCTGCGCGGACCGTCCGGCGGCATCACCCCCGGCATGGACCACGCGGCGGGCCCGACTGGGCCCCCATGCAGGGGCAGGACGCCGACCCCAGGCGATCTGCGAGCTTCCCCGGGGATCTGCGAGCTTCCCTCGGCGCCGCCTTAGACGTCCGTCCCGACCAACCGCTGCCTGCCGATCTTTGTCCCCCCAGTTCTACCGCGGACGCCGACCCCAGGCGCTGCTCCCCCGGCGATCTGCGAGCTTCCCTCGGCGCCGCCTTGGACGTCCGTCCCGACCAACCGCTGCCTGCCGATCTTTGTCCCCCCAGTTCTACCGCAGACGCCGACCGGGACCCGCTGCGCTTGCGCGCGGCCGCCTTGGTCAACGCATCAGATCGGCATCTTTGGCTTTCCTTCCTGTCTGCTGCGGGGGCCGGCGCCAGCGGCAACCCCCTCGCGCATGAGCTCTCGATGTTCTTGGGCTTCCTCCGCTTGTCGGAGTCCGCTGATTTCCCCTGGGGATGGATGCGACTGGCGCCCCCGGCGCGACGGGAGGCGGCCCGTGTTGGGCGTTGCGTAATGGAGGGGTCATAAATGGGGGGGTGGCGAGGGTGGTCCGAAAAGGTACCCAAACGGTACCTAAACGAGCCCCCTGGGGGTCCGGAGGGGCTCGAAAGGGGCACGAAAGGGGACCGTTTCTGACCCCCCCATTTGTGACCCCCCCATTCAGCCACGCCCAACCGTGAGGCGCTCCGCTGGGGCGATCAGACAGCACGCGACCTCCCCCTTACTGCGCCCGATCGCGCCGACCAGTTCTCTCTCTCTGAGGTCCGACCCCCCAGGAAAGAATTCCCTTGCTGGGATATCCTCAGGCAGCACACGGCGGACTTAAGCGGAGTACGACCGGCGCTTCCCCGCTCCTGCGCCCGCCGCAGGCGAAGCCAGCTGCGTCGGTCGGCCCCCCGCCAGTGCTTGGGCCCGCGGGGGGCGCGGATCCCCCTGCGACTCCTTGCTGCCGCCTCCTCGGCCTTGCGGCCTTGCTGCCGCCTTGCGGCCTTGCTGCCGGTGGCGGCCTTGCTGCCGCCTTGCGTCCGACCTTGCTGCGGCCTCCTCGGTCCGACCTTGCGTCCGACCTTGCTGCCGCCTTGCGTCCGACCTTGCATCCTGCGGATCCCGGTGGCGGCCTTGCTGCCGCCTCCTCGGCTCCGGCCGCGGCCGCTGCCTCGGACGTCTGCCCAGCGGCGCGTGCGCTTTTTGACGACCCTGCGGGGGGCACTCCCTCGCACGAGGCGCCGCCCCGGAGCCCTGGCGGCAAGGCCCCGTCCCCCCCGGGCCCTTTCGGCTCGGGGGTGGACAGACCTCCTACCCGGACACGTTGATTCGTGAATTGTCCGCTTTCGGTTCTCGAGAGGGCGCCGCGGCCGTCATTTTCCAGGCCTGCGCCCGCCAAGTTTGGGCCCGAGGTCGTTTTCACTAAACCACGTTTTACTAAAGGGAGGGCTGTCCATTTCCGACCGGCGCCTCTTGCGGAGCGCACCATCCGTGGCTGGGCTCCCCCCCGCCCGGCGACTCGCGTGCGGTTCCAGCACGACCCGCCATCCGTGTCCAGGCCCAGGTCCCGGCTGGCGCTGCGGCCCCTCCGCAGGCCCGCCTTGGCGGCGATTCCTGCGCCGCTGCCCGGGGCCTGCGCGTGCTGCGGGGCTGGACGCTCGGGCCGGACGAAAGGGGGGGATTGGGAAAGGGGGGGTTACGAAATCTGCTGCATGCCGCTGGTTTCGGCCTCACCGAGGGGCCCATTCCTCGATACATGGGCGCCTCCCGGCGCCGGAGGCGCCGGGAAAATCAGCTACACGAGCTGATTCTCAAACACCCCCTTTGCTATCCCCCCCTTTCGTCCGACCCGAGATGCCGTCGCCCCCGCCTTGTGTTCCTTGATGGCCAAGCCCCCGGCCTCCCCCGACTTCGATGCTCAGGCGTCTCCCACGCCCCCGGCGTCTCTTCGGCTGGCCGCGCTGGGCGCGGGGGCAACGCTGGGCGCAGCTGCCAGTGCCAGCCCGTGCGGGCTCGGCGCCGCCACGGCCTCGGCCGCAGCGGCGGCGCCAGCTCCTCTGGCTGCGCTCGGTGCGCAGCCACCTCGCCACAGACCGAGTCTCCGCAGTCCGTCCCTGCGACCCCGCCCCCCGCTGCTGCAGCTAGCTACGCCCCCAGGCCCGTAGGGCCGCTGCCTCCGCTGCCTGGGGCGGCTCCCGCCGCTCCCCTGCCGACCCTGCTTGCGGCAGCGGCGGCGCCACTGGCTCCAGGTCGCATTGCCTCCCCGCGCCAGCGGCTGGCGTGGCCGCGCCCAGAGTCGCCCCGGCCGGTCCGCTCCTTGGCCCTGGCGGACCGCTGGGGTGGTTGCCCGTCCGGGTCGGCTCCAGCCCTGTCACGGCCGCTTCTTCCCGCTCCCCACGACGGGCGGGGCGCGTGGCGCCCGCTCTTGCGGTTCCTCATATGCATATCGGGCGGGCGGGCCCGGGGCTGCCGCCCGGACAGCCTCGCGAGAACCCTGAGCTGACGTCTTCTTTCCGTCGGCGGCTAGCGGCGGACCCCAGCGCGGTCCCTGACGTCCAGGCCCGGGCCGCCGACATCCCTTTGATGGAGGTCGCCACCGACCTCTATCAGGGGGGCGCCGATCACCTCCCCTGGGGCGGCCTCGCTCAGCCCGCTGTCCCGCCACAGGCCCCAGAGCCGAAGCGGGCACGGATGGACGCGCCCCCTCTCGCGTACGACGTTGTCGATTCGGTGCCCGGGGACCCCCTCCATCCATCCTCCCATCTCCGCCTCCCCTCCTAAGCCGGGGGCCCCCTCCACCCCTATCAGCGGGCTCTCGCTCGCCCCCGATCTCCCGGACGACGCCTGGACCTGCGCGCGAAGGTGCACCTCGCTCCACGCTTTCGCTTCACTTGCATATTGACCTCCCCACCGCTCTCTCCTCGCCCCGGACATCTGGCCGAGGCGGGGCGGGCCGCCTCTTCTCCCAGCCGGAGGCGACCCCCGCGGCCTGCGATGCCAGTGGAAAGACATGTCGCTCCCGACGTACTTCCCTATTCGCGGGACCGTCCCCCCTCGACGTTTGGGTGGGGTGGGGGTGGGAGTGGGGGTGGGGTGGAGCGGTGGTGCCCCTGCCTCCTGCCTCCGTCGCCGGTGGCAGGCTGCTCCGGTGGGGGTCTGGCCACCCGTCCCGTCCTGCGCGCCCCCTGGGCGTGACGGAGAAGACCCTCCCATGGGAGGCCGGGGGGCGACCCGCCGCCTCATCGCTGTCGTGCCGCTCGCGCGCGGTCTGACCGCCTCGGGCCTCGGCCCTCGTCATGGCAGCGTCGGCCCCCCAGGGGGGGCCCGGGGACCCTGGCTTGCCCGTCGTCTTCCGCCCGGGGCAGCGGCCTCCGGGGGTGGGGCCCCGCGGGGGGCGCCGCGCAGCGAGGCCCGGGCTTGCCTCTCGGCCGTGCCTTGCACTGCTTTGGCGTGGCTGGCTGTGGTGTCGCTCGCCTTGGCCTTTCCTGGCTCCGGCTCGTCCCTCTGGAGCCCTGCTGGGTCCGGGCCGCGCGCGGCTCTCCCTCGGCCCTATAGTGGGGCCTCGGGCTGCCCGTTCTGGGCCTGATGGTTCACCTGGGTTGGCCCCTGCCGCCGGACTCCCTGGGGGGCCTGCCTGTGCGGGCCCTTGTTGGCCCGGTGGCCGTCGGCCCCTCGGGGCTGTCGTTTTGGGGCGGGCCCGTTTGGCCTCCCCGGGCTCGTCCGTGGCGTGCACTCCCGTGCGGGGCTTTTTGTGCCGCCCTGCCAGCTCGTGTCGCGGTCGTCCTCGTTGCGGTCGTTTTGCCGTGCTGCGGTGTCTGGCTTTCGGGCTCTGTCGCTCGGTTCGGCGGCGCTCGCGTCGTGGTCGGTTGTCGCGTTGTCTTGTGTTGTCGCCCTTGCTGTCCTCGTTCAGTGCGTTCGCGTCCGCGTGGCTCCGTCCCTTCCTCCTCCCTGTTGGCCGCCGCCCAGGCGGCCTCGCGCTGGCTCCTTCCTGGCGTTGGGCTCCTCCCCTCGGCTGGCCTCCGTACGCTTTTTTTTCGTCTCGCGCTCCTGGGGGACTGCGGTTCGCCCCCCCTTCCCCTCCCGGCCTCTGCCTCGGCCGCCGCGGCCACCGACCCTTGCACTGCCAGCTCGCCTTAGGCTCCGACCGGCTAGCCGCTGCGCGGCGGCCCGCGAAAGCAAAAAGAGGAGGAGGAGGAGGAGGAGGAGGAGGAGGAGGAGGAGGAGGAGGAGGAGGAGGGGGACGAGGAGGCGGCGAGAGAGCGTGGGATGAATAATGGTGTATGGCCCTGACCTGGACCCGCAACGTCATATTATTCACGAAATGGCTCCCAAGAGGTCTCGACCCATTCTCTGGGACCGGCTTTGCATCCAGAGTTGTTTGACGGCCCCAGGGCCCAGCGAGGCCCGCCAGATGCCGAACAGAGAGACAACAAAAGACCGTCGGGATATGTTTCACGACCCGATGGGGTCAAGAGAGGAAGAGAAGGAGGCGTACTCTTTGCCTTAGAGGACACCTGGACCCTATCGTTCCGCCTTTCTCACGTTTCTTGGCCTTCTTCTATCTGCGCCCACCCGGCTTCATTGGTAGGCCACCGAGCCCAAGTATGTGTTTCGCGTCATGTTTTCCTTAAGAGCTCTGCGAGCCGCGTGTTTGAAGTCCGTTCAACGCAAGAAAACATAGTCGGAAGAAGGAAGAGCGACACCAAGCCACCAGGGAACGCAGCCACTTGTTCTGTGTCGCTTCCCCTCCCCCGATGCGTCCTCTGCATCTGCCCTTGTCCGTTTTCCCCATTTCTCGATCTTGGATTGCCCAGTTGCCCAGGGAATTGTATTTGCTGGTCTTTATGTCGGCTGTCTTCCTCCCGAACCAAGGTGGAGGGGCAGGATGCCGAGGGCGCCTTGTGGGGAAGGCACAAGGTACCGACCCAGCTACTCCCCGGACCTCCCCTGGGGTGCGCTCTGACCATGATTCCGAGGCGAATGCAGCGGTGGCCACGAGGGCCTCCCAGGAGGCCCCCAAAAGGCGGAACACGAGGGAAGGGAAGCGGCTTTCCTTCGGAGGCTTCCTTCTCCTCGGAGGCTTCCTTCTCGCTCGCCGGCGTGCGGCGTGCGGTCTCCTCGGATGCCTGCGGGCGGCGCAGCCCGTGCGCCGCCGTTGCGCCCAGGGCCACCAGGGCCGCGTGGGGCTGCCCCCTCTCCCCGCGGGCGGCGGGAGGCTCCTCGGAGCACCACGCCCTCCTTCAGAGCCCCGAATCATCAGGGGTAACTCGGGTCAGGGATAATTCGGGTTCGTTTTTCGGGAATCCAAACCCGAGTTACCCCGGACCCGAGTTACCCCGGATAACTCGGGCGTCCAGAGCCCCGAATCATCAGGGGTAACTCGGGTCAGGGCTAACTCGGGTTCCTTTTTCGGGAATCCAAACCCGACTTACCCCGGACCCGAGTTACCCCGGATAACTCGGGCGCCCAACTCCTCAGCGGAAAACGCGGGAAGGCGCAGCGTTCCGTCGGGCCTGTCCCTCTCCAGGGGGAATATATCCAAACATAGTAAAAAACATAGTCTGGGGACTATTTTTGTCAGTAATTCCGGGCATCTTTTGAGCATGTTTGGGGTATTCTTCGTTTGTCGTCCAAAATCCCCCTGTAGGGGGACAGGCCCGACAAAAGCATAGCGGTACCCGAGATTGATTTTTCTGAGCTCCTTTGGAAGCTCTCCCGCCTCAGATGGGAGCCGCCGCGGGAGGCCCCAGAGGCGGCAGTATACGAAATTTCGGATTGAAGAAAGCACCCTCGCGAGGGCTTGCAAAACCTAGGGGAGCATCGCTCCCGCCTCTGAGACCTGGGGCGCCGGCGCGCCCTCGTGCGCACAGGTTCGAGTGCAGCCTGCACGTGGACCTCCAGCAGCGCGCCTGCGAGTTCCTGGAGCTGCTCGAGGGCGAGTGGGACTCCTCGCGCGCAGGCGGCCGCTCGACACCCCCCCGCGCGCGCACCGTGCGCGGGCCCCGCGGAGCAGGCAAGCCCCAGGAGGGATTTCTGTTGCCGCCTTCGCTTTGCCCGGAGAGGGCCCGGGCCCCGGGTCTTCTCCTCATTCCTCCTCCTCCTCCTCCTCCTCCTTCTCCTCCTACCTCATACGGCGAGCAGCCCAGGCCAAGAGGGTAAGGAGTACGCGTACTGATGGATGGCACCAGTGGGAGGAAGGAAGTTTCGGACTACAATGTAAGGCGTGCTTGAAGATCCACAACCCAGGGACGGAAGTTATGCTCAATGGTTGTGCTGGCGCCCCTACCTTCCTCAAGGCTTTCCTCAACCAACCACTCGGACATCACCTAGTGGCGGTGAACCAGAAGGGCGACGGGCTCAGCGACGACGCGGTCCCTACGGTCTTTGTTTGTGTTGGCTGTGGTGCTTGGGCGCAACAACGTCGACGGCAGAAGCTAAGGAGGCAGTGCAAGCCGCCAACCCGACAAGGCGTAGAAGTGCTGACGAATCTTCGACGGGGTTTGGGCCCACACAAGACGCTGGCGAGGCATATGGACATGACGACCCCCCTGTGTAGGCTGATGCCCAAGGCCCTGCCCCCTCTGCTTTCGAAGACTTGTGTCACTCGACCTGTGGCGATGGCGGAGGACACGGGGTACGAGCACAAGTTGGCAGCCATGATGGAAAGGATAAAGGCAAAGGAAAAGGCGAAGCGTGAGCAGGACGACGACAACAACACGATCCTCGGACGCACGCGACACGCAGATCCTGAAGCGGCAGATCCACAACATGGGGGTAGTGCTTGCACGGGGTCGGGGACGCCCACTGAGTCCCTGGTGCCCACTGAGACTGAGGGTCCTCAGCGTCGCCACGTTATTGATGCGCCCCCTGCGGCACAACTTTGTGGCGATCCCCTACCCGCGCCTGATGAAGACGGAGTCGGTGTTGGTGACGGTGCACGCTGCAGCCGCATCGGAAAGGAGGCAGGAGCAGGGCCTCAGCCGAGCGGCGAAGGTGGAAAGGAGGCAGGAGCAGGGCCTCAGCCACCTGACGGAGACAGCGCTCGCGCCAGGGACCGCGTCGGAAAGGGGGCAGGAGCAGGGCCCCAACCGAGCGGTCGCGGCGGAAAGGAGGCAGGAGCAGGGCCTCAACCGCTTGCTGGAGGTGCGCAGCAGCGAGGACGAGCACGGCAGCCAAGTCTCTGGGCCCTTTTTTTCAGGCGGCATCGGGACGACGTGCTGAGAGCGGGCAGAAGGACCATGGGCCGAATCCCATGGGAAGGGCAAGCGGTGCTCTCGAGCAGCAGACGTTGGAGGCAATCATGGGCGCCCAGGCGCTCAGCGGCAACCACAGCGGGAAACATGCTGCTCGAGGCCGCGAAGAGGTCGTTGGCAGCTTTCGAGGCCAGGCTGTGGCTGCGGTGGCTAGTACTACGAGGAGTACTTCGAGAAGAAGGGCGGAGCCAGCGGCCATGGAGGTGCCCAGCCAGGGGCAGCGAGGTCTGCGAGCTGCTTCTGAGGGCGCACTCCAGGGAGCTGCTGGCACTACGACGCGGGGTACTACGCGGAGTACTCCCTGCACGGCGCTTGTGGCCCTGGATGTGTCTCCCAGGGGCGGCGCGGAGGCGGCTGGGGCGATCCGCCCTAGCCGCCTTTCCCCCTGCGCGGCGAGGGGTTAGGCCGCAGCGGCTGCGGGCAGCGCCCGACGAGATGCAGGCGCCGAGCGCCGAGCTGGCGACGCCGCTGGCTCCCGCGCTGAGTGCCCGCGGCCGCGGGCGCTCGGGCGCGGCGGCCCCCGAGGGGGCGACCTGCGACCGCAGGAGTGTCTCTCTCTCTCTCTCTCTCTCTCTCTCTCTCCTCCTCCTCCTCCTCCTCCTCCCTCCTCCTCCTCCTCCTCCTCCTCCTCCTCCTCCTCCTCTCCTCCTCCTCCCTCCTCCTCCTCCTCCTCTCCTCCTCCTCCTCCTCCTCCTCCTCCTCCTCCTCCTCCTCCCTCCTTCTCCTCCTCCCCTCCTCCTCCCTCCTCCTCCTCCTCCTCCTCCTCTCCTCCTCCTCCTCCTCCTCCTCCTCCTCCTCCGCCTCCCCCTCTCGCCGCGCGTGCGCGCGCCCGCCCGCCCGCTCTCGCCGACGACGGCGCATGGCGACGACGACCAGCGATAAGGAGGAGACTTGATTGCCAGAAAAGACTTTGAGCGCCAGCAGATGACCCCCAAGCTCCAGGGTTTTCGCGCGTCGGGGCCCTTTGGAGGCACTCGTCCGGCACCGTTTCGACACTCTGTCGACACGTTTCAGGGTGCTCGAAACCATTTCTGGGATGCGGTCCTTACGTACGATGGGAGCAGCATAAGGCAAGACCAAGGGATTTCTGCTGCCGTGTTTGTTTTTCCCGGAAAAGGCGCGGGCCAGGGTTCTTTTTTGGATGGTTTACCCTTCGGTTTTGACCTGAAGGAGGCCGGCGGATTTCCGCTCGATGCAAAACGAGGTGAAGTCCAATTCGGCGTGACAAAATGCGTTTCGCGCGTGCCTGCTCGAGGAAAGTCGACCCCCCGCCTCGGATCCTCGATAAATAGCGGAGCCGCGGGCCTCCTTTTCCTTAGTGAAAAAGAGGGTGCGGAGCGTTTTGTGAAGAATCCATATTCAATGACGAGGTATGGAGCCCCGACCGTGACACGAAAAATATCAAACAATTGACTTTTTGCGTGCCCGCTCGAGGATGGAGCGTTCCGCGCGCAGGAATTTCGAGGATTTCTCGAGTCCCGCGCTTATTTTGTAGAAGGAAGGCAGGTTTTGTTTGGTGCCCGCTCGAGGATGGCGCACCCAGCGTGCCGAATCTCTGAGGATGTCTCCGGCGAGATGCTTGTTTTGCAGCGCTTGGAAGGCTTGGGCGCTCCAGGATGCCCAGGTGGTTTTGGGAGTGCGGTCGGACCGTTATTTACGAAGGACCGTTGCCCTGGGAGCGCAGACGCAGCGTAATTTGCAAAGGATCCTGGCCCTGGGAGCGCGGACGCAGCGTAATTGACGAGGGATCCTGGCCCTGGAGGCGCGAACCCAGCGTAATTCACTAGGGATCGTGGCCCCGGGAGCGTGGACACTGCGTCATTCACGAGGGAGCGCGGCCCTGGGAGCGTGGACGCTGCGGATGTCTAGCATGAGGATGTGGGCAGGATGTCTCGAGCGAAACGCTTGCCCCCAGCACGTTCCGCAGCGCGTCCCCTTGGCAAGTCCCGCGGTGCGTCGCCATGGCACGTCCCGTGGCACCTCGCCTGGCGCGTCCCTTAGGACGTTCCGCGGCGCGTCCTCCTGGCATGTCGCCTTGTCAATTAGCTCTGGGGCAGCTACTATGTGCTCAGGCAGGCAGCTCGAGCTGAAGATCCAGACCAGTTCGGTCAGTACTCGGATGCAAAGGAGGACTCGATCCACAACACTATAGAGCACAATCGTGGCAGGGCGCATCGCAATTCAGCACGGCCCAGCACAGCATATCTTTCGACACGGTTCATCAACATCGATACACTCAGCATTGCAATTTGGCACGTTCTCTGGCACGTTCCGTGGCGCGCCCCGTGGCGAGTCCCCCCTGACACGTCGCGCGGCGCGTCCCTTGGCACGTCCCGTGGCTCGTCCATTGGCACGTTTCGCAGCGCGTCCTCTTGGCACGTCCTGCGGTGCGTCCCCATGGCACGTCCCCTGGCACGTCGCCTGGCGCGTCCCTTGGGACGTTCCGCGGCGCGTCCTCCTGGCATGTCCCCTTGTCAATTAGCTCTGGAGCAGCTACTATGTGCTCAGACAGCTCGAGCTTCAGATCCAGATCAGTTCGGTCAGTACTCGGATGCAAAGGAGGACTCGATCCACAGCGCTACAGAGCGCAATCGCGGCATGGCACATCGCAATTCGGAACGGCGCAGGACAGCACAGCCCTCGGCACTGTACATCAACATCGATACATTCAGCATTGCGTTTGCCCGTCGCCCAATCAGGTATTCGTGAAATGTTGCCATGCTTTACATGTCTATATTCCTTTCCGGGTTCGTGGGTCGATCATGTTGTCCTCCTCTTCGATCCTCCTCGATCCTCCTCCTCGATCCTCCTTCTCCTTCTCGTTCCTCCTCCTCCTCATCCTCCTCTTGCTCCTCCTCCTCTCCTCCTTCTCCTCCTCCTCCTCCTCCTCCTCCTCCTCCTCCTCCTCCTCCTCTCGCCTAAGGATGAAGGAGGAAGGAGGAAAAAGGAATGAGGGAGGAGGGAGGAGGGAGGAGGGAGGAGGGAGGAGGGAGGAGGAAGGAGGGAGGAGGGAGGAGGGAGGAGGGAGGAGGGAGGGAGGGAGGAGGGAGGAGGGAGGAGGGAGGAGGGAGGAGGGAGGAGGGAGGAGGGAGGATGGGAGGAGGAGGAGGAGGAGGAGGGAGGAGGAGGAGGGAGGATGGGGAGGAGGGAGGAGGGAGGAGGAGGGAGGAGGGGGGAGGGAGGAGGAGGAAGGGAGGAGGGAGGAGGGAGGATGGGAGGGAAGAGGAGGAGGGGAGGAGGGAGGAGGATGGGAGGGGGAGGAGGGAGGAGGGAGGAGGGAGGAGGGAGGAGGGAGGAGGGAGGAGGAGGAGGCGAGGAGGAGGGAAGGAGGGAGGAGGGAGGAGGAGGAGGAGGAGGAGGAGGTAGGAGGGGAAGGAGGAGTGGGAGGAGGGAGGGGATGGAGGAGGGAGGAGAGGAGGAGGGAGGGAGGGAGGAGGAAGGAGGAAGGAGGGAGGAGGGGGGAGGGAGGAGGGAGGAGGAAACAGGGAGGAGGGAGGAGCGGCCGCGCAGTGGCTGCGCTGCCCGCAGGCATCCTGGACCGCATGCCGGTGATCGAGAAGGAAGCCTCAGAGGAGGAGGAGGATGAGGAGGAGGAGCAGGAGGAGCAGGAGGAGCAGGAGGAGCAGGAAAAGAAGAAGGAGGAACAGGAAAAGAAGGAGGAGGAGGAGCAGGAGGAGCAGGAAAAGAAGGAGGAGGATCGGATGAGGAAAGGCACCCATGCCGCTACCTTTTTCCCGTATTCACACATTTTGGGGCCTCCTGGGAAGCCCTCGTCCCCACCGATGGATTCGCCTCGAGATCCCGTTCAGAAGGCACCCCGGGAGAGGTACAGGGAGTAGCGGTATCGGCACCGTTGGGTTTACCAATAAAGGTGCCTTCCTCTCCCGGGCAATGCGTGAGTTTGGTAGCATATCACGGGAGTTTTGTATGCCCTCGTAGTTCCGTCTTTCGAACGCACTAGCGTCGAGTAGCGTCTGGTAATGGTTGAGATAGCGCCGATTAGCGTCGACTACCGTCGATGCAGCGTCGATTAGCGTCGACCTGCGTCGATTCGCAAGAGCCAACAAGATGGTATGGGAGGCTCTCATGAGGTGCCTCCGTAAGAGTGATCCTTCGCCACAGTGACCTTTGGTGTGGGCCCACCGGGATCCCCCTGGCAGTGGCTTGCGCGCGTGGATCTGGCTCCCCCGCGGACCCCCTAGTTAAAGCTGCGCACCGTAGGTCACTCTTACCTGCGGTCACTTCTACGTGCAGGCGATATCCTCTCTCGTGAGAACATCGGGCAACAAACAACCGCATACACATTATTTCTCAGAGGTCCGCGCGGATCTCTTGGATCGGCTTCGGGACCCTGGGCGGCGCCTCTGGCACCGCCCCTGGGCGCCCCGCGCGCCAGGGAGAGGGGTCCAGCGCTGATCCAAGAAATCCGCGCGGACTTCCGAGACGTTATGTTTATGTGATTCGGTTCCTCTAGGGCATAGAAGAGGAGCAGAGGAGGGCGAGCTGATCCAACGGTAGTTGGTTTTCGGATGGCCTCCTCGTCGCCACGCCTCGGCGCAGCTCGGACATCTGGTGCGCTTGGTTTCCGGGAGGTGTCCAGGGATCGACTTTGAGTTGCCGCTGCCTCAATTCACCCTGCTCTGAGGAGCGAGGCGGAGGGACGAGGAGGAGGTGAAGGAGAAGGACGGCGGTGGGGGTGGATGGTGGTGATGGTCCTGGTGGTGGTGGTGGTGGCGGAGGGCGGTGGTCCTGGTGGCGTGTGTCCTGGTTATTTCCGGATAGGGCGCGGGCCCAGGGTTCTCTTTTAGTTGGTTTCCCCCCCGGCCTTCTACGGGAGGTGGCCGGCGGAATTATTCTGCGATCATACGAGGTAAAGTGTAATTTGTCAGTTGAACAATTGCGTTTGTCGCGTGCCCGCTCAAGGAAAGTTTGCCCCCCATCTCGGATGCTCGATAAATAACGGGGTCCGCAGGCCACCGCTTCTCTTTATAAAAAAGAGAGTGCGGCGCGTTTTTAGCATAATCCTTTTAAACAAAAAAACAGGTCCGCGACGCGGAAAAAAGCGTCCCGCGCGCCGACATTTCGAGGATGTCTCGCGCGTGCCGCGTCCTGCGCGCAGGAATTTCGAGAATGTCTCGACTAATTCGTTGGTTTTTGCAGGGATTTCGCTGAGAGGGCCCAGGAGGTATCCAACATGGTGGTCCCGAGCTGTAACCACGTGCTTTCGCGTGTCCAAGCCACCCAGGTGGGTATCTAACATGGTGGTCCCTAGCTGGAACCACGTGTGTTCACGTGCCCAGGCCGCACAGAAAAGGGGGTATCTAACATAGGGGCCCTGAGCTGGAACCACGTGTTTTTACATGTCCAAGCCACACATGGGGCGTATCTAACATGGTGCCCCCGCGCTGGAACCAAGTTTTTTCACGTGTCCACGCCACCCGGGGGCTATCTAACATGGTGGTCCCAAGCTGGAACCGCGTCGTTTCGCACCCAGGTAGGTAGCTAACATGGTGGTCCCGAGCTGTAACCAACTGTTTTTACATATCCAGGCCACACAGGAGGGGGGAGGAGGAGGACGAGGAGGAGGAGGAGGAGGACGAAGAAGAGGAGGAGGAGGAGGAGGAGGAGGGGAAGGAGGAGGAGCAGGAGGGGGAGGAAGACGGGCAGGAGGAGGGGAAGGAGGACGGGAAGGAGGGGGAGGGAAGGAGGACGGGAAGGAGGGTAAGGAGGAGGAGGCGGAGGAGGAGGAGGAGGAGGAGGAGGAGACGTCCCAGGACCTTCACATAACGACTCGGGACGACGAGCGGGGTGAATTCCAAGGGCCCAGCAGCAGTTTCCTCCCAGACCCGTGTCGTCGTCGCCGCCGCCGTCGTCGCGGGCGGCCTCCGGCGACGAGGAGGTCCACTCGAGCGTCGTCGTCGTCGTCGTCGTCGTCGTCGTCGTCGTCGACTCCGAGGGCCTCGGAGGTCCTCCGCGGGGTCGTCCTCGCCGACGCTGGCGCGCAAGCTGCCCTCGCCAGGCGGCGCGTGGGCTATGATGGGTTGTTTGGGTTTCGATGTTTTCGCTATGGAAAGCGTGACGTCCCCACAACAAAGTTCAGTGGACGTCCTGGGGTCTCAGGTTTGGGTTTCTTGTGAGCATTCATGTTGCTTTGCACATCCGCCTGTAAGAGGACGTGCCCGACCTCCTGTCGCCCAGGGCTGGGCGTTTTTTTTTTGCCCGGGCAACGAGCGCTGGCTGGGGAGAAACCAACAAAAACATGCTCACCATCTCGCGCCTGGCGCGGCGCCCCGGCGCCCACGCGCGCTGCGCCTGCACGGGCGCCCACGTGCGGGACTGCTCCTCCTCCTCCTCCTCCCCTTCCTCCTCCTCCTCGTCCTCCTCCTCCTCCTCCTCCTCCTCGTCGTCCTCCTCCTCGTCCTCCTCCTCCTCCTCCTCGGCCTTGCGCCCCGGTGCCCGTCCCCCCACCTCAGGAGGGAGAGAAGGACGTTCTTTCTCGGGGGCGGCAAAGAGGCGGGTGATGACTAGGGGGGGGGGGATGATCATGGCGGGGGCCCTGATATTTCCCCAGATGTCATGGCGCCTCTTCTTGTTGCATTACGTCCCAGGCCCCCCCGCTGGGCCGCGCACATGCCGCCAGTCACGATTTGCACCCCCCCCCTCTGAGACACCCCCCTCTTGGCCGCTCCCGAGAAGGACGTTCTTTCGGCAGCGGCGAGGCAGAAGCAGTCCGCTCCAGCGTGTGGCTTTTCGGGGCCACCGAAAGGCGAACCTGCGGGCGTTCAAGACGGGGGGGAGAGGCAGACCAGAGTGGCCGCGCGGGGGGAGGGGGAGGGGAAAGCGCTCAGACGTGGAAGCGTTCCGCGTCGAGCGGGCCGGGGCGGCCGACCGAGGCAGCGGAGACCGAAAGAAGGACGTACACGTATGTACATGGATCCACGGTGGTTTCGAGAGTACGCGTTGCGCGAACGCTCGTTTCACGCGGCCGGTCTCGCGGTTTGGGGGGCTGGGTTCATGTTCGTTGTTGGGCGCGTAAGTCTTTAATTCGGGGACGGCCAAGAGGGGGGTGATTACTAGGGGTGGCGATATCATGGCGGGGGCCATGATATCTCCGCAGAGTTTATGGCCCCTCTTCTTGCTTCAATGCGTTCCCCGGCCCCCTCTTGGTCCGCGCACGTGCCGCGGGCCATGATCTGCACCTCCCCCTCTCGGACGCCCCCCTTGCTGGACGCCTCCGATTCGTCGGCTCCCTGCCACCGCTTGCCCCACCGAGGAGGACGGCGCGGACGGCCGCGGCGTGGGCGACACCATGCTGGACGACGTGCCCTCGGGGCCCGTGGGCGGCGGCGGCGTGAAGCCAGGCCCGGGGCTCCCTCGTGCGAGAAGGGGGGGGGGCCTCGTCCTCGACCCTCGGCGCCCGCGCCGCCCCCCCCCTCCTCGCCCTCGACGCCCGCGCCCTCGGCCTCCCCTCGACGCCCTCGTCGCCCCTCCTCGCCCGCGGCCTCCCCTCGACGCCCGCGCCGCTCCCAGCCCCGCGACGCCGCGAGTTGTTCAGGACGCCGACCCCCCGAGGCCTGAAAGAGCGCGACGGCGCCCGTGCAGCGCGCCGCCGACGGTTCCCAGGGCAAAAGCGCCCGCGGAACGCGCTCCCTCTCGGAAGTCTGGGCCCCCTCTCCCCCCTGGCCTGGTGTCTCATCCTCGCGGCCGTTCTGCGGACGGCCCCGGGGCTCGGCGAGGGCCCCCCCGGAGGCCAACCGTCGTGAGACGCCTCACGCCGCGATGTCTCTTCAACGCGAGGGGGGTCTGTCGGGCCGGACGAAAGGGGGGGATTGGGAAAGGGGGGGTTGCGAAATCTGCTGCATGCCGCTGGTTTCGGCCTCACCGAGGGGCCCATTCCTCGATACATGGGCGCCTCCCGGCGCCGGAGGCGCCGGGAAAATCAGCTACGCGAGCTGATTCTCAAACCCCCCCTTTGCTATCCCCCCCTTTCGTCCGACCCGAGTCTGAGGAGGGAAAGGGGGGGAACCAAAAGGTACCGATGCCGCCGCTCCCCGGACCTCTCCCAGGGGCGCGTTCTGGCCAGGACGTCGAGGCGAAGCCAGCGGTGGCGACGGGGGCCGCCTAGGAGGCTGGGAAAGGGGAGACAGGAGGGAAGGGTAGAGGTATGTATGTATGCATGCATGCATGCATGTGTATGTATGTTGGTATGTCTGTCTGTCTGTCTGTCTGTCTGTCTGTCTGTCTGTCTGTCATGTATGCATGCATGCATGCATGCATGCAAGCATGCATGCATGCATGCATGTATGTATGTATGTCTGTATGTATGTATGTGTGTACGTATGTATGTGTATGTATGGATGGCTGTATGTGTATGTATGTATGTATGTATGTATGCATGCATGTATGTATGTTTGTATGTTTGTATGTATTATGTATGTATGTATGTATGTATGTATGTATGTATGTGTGTGTATGTATATATGTATGTATGTATGTATGTATATATATATATGTGAAAGAGCGTGTTCTACCGCTGCTGGCGGAAAACCGGGGGGGGTCACTACCGGTTCGAACCCCTCCCCCCCCCCCTCCGGAAAACCGGGGGGGGTCACTACCGGTTCGAACCCCTCCCCCCCCCCAGCTCATCATGAAAAGGGGGGGGGGTCACTACCGGTTCGAACCCCTCCCCCCCCTCCCCCTCGGAAAACCGGGGGGGGTCACTACCGGTTCGAACCCCCCCCCCCCTCGAAAACCGAGTGGGGGTGCGGACAGTGGTGGGGACGGTGTTGGTGGGGACAGTGGTGAGGGGATAGCGGGACAGTGGTGGGGACAGTGGGACAGTGGGACAGTGGTGGGGACGGTAGTGGTGGGGACAGTGGTGGGGACAATGGTGGGAACAGGGGGGGACAGTGGACAGTGGTGGTGACGGTGGTGGTGGGGACAGTGGTGTGGGGACAATGGGAATGAGGTGGAAACAGTGGGACAGTGGAGGGTACAATGGTGGTGGGGACAGTGGTGAAGGCGGTGGCGAGGACGGCGGTGGGACAATGGGACAGAGGTACAGTGGGGACAGTGGTGGGGACAGTGGGGACAGTGGTGGGAACAGTGGGACAGCTCAGTGGGACAGCGGAGGAGTCAGTGGGACAGTGGGGACAGTGGGGATAGTCGGGCAGTGGTTGGGGCCGTGGAGACAGTGGGGAGAGTGGAACCGTGGTGGGAACAGTTCTGGGGACAGCGGGGACAGTGCGACAGTGGTGGGGCCACTGGTGGGGACAGTAGGGGCGGTGGTGGAACCAGTGGGGACAGCGGTGGTGAGGACAGTGGTGCTGGGAACACCAGTGGGGGATGTGATGCGGACGGTGGTGGGGACCGGGAGTCGTTTGCTGGCGTGAGCAGGGGGGGGGGGGGGGGGGGGGGGGGTTTCGAACCGGTAGTGACCCCCCCGGTTTTCCGAATCCGGAGGGGGGGGGGGGGGGGGGAGGGGGTTCGAACCGGTAGTGACCCCCCCCGGTTTTCGAGCGGCGGGTTTTGGGGGGGGGGGGGGGGGGGGGGGGGTTCCAGCAGGGGGGGGATTTTCGGGGGGGGGGGGCGACCCCCGGGTTCCGGAGGAAAAAGTTGGCAATTTTCCACAGTAAAGCGGCGGTGGATCACGCTCTCTCATATATGTGTATGTATGTATGTATGTATGTATGTATGTATGTATGTATGTATGTGTGTGTGTGTATGTATGCATGCATGCATGCATGCATGTATGTATGTATGTATGTATGTATGTATGTATGTATGTATGTATGTGTGTGTGTACGGATGTATGCATGCGTGCATGTATGTATATGTATGTATGTATGCATGTATATATGTATGTGTGTATGTATATATGTATGTATGTATGTATGTATGGGTATGTATGTATGTATGTATGTATGTATGTATGCACGTACGTACGTACGTACGTACGTATGTATGCATGCATGCATGTATGTATGTATGTATGTATGTATGTGTGTATGTATGTGCGTATGTATGTATGTGTGTATGCATGTATGTATGGTTGTTTGTTTGTGTGTTCGTTTGTCTGTTTGCTTGTATGTGTACATGTATTGCGAAGGCCTTACGGCCGTTGCCGCCGACC